ACAGCGTCAGCATGAAGCTTCCAGTAAAGTCAATCGACAGCTGGTCAAGAGGAATCCGCCGTCGTCTTCTAATGGAACCGACCTTCGAGTCTCTTCACCAAACACTTTCACTCGAAATGGAAGTAAGCTCAATAAATAAATATTAGCAAGAATCCTGTTACTATTACTTTCCTTTTACTGAATATCTTAAGATCTTATTCACTATACCTTAAACTAACGCCTTTATAAGATTAGACTTAATAAATATTCGGCCATTTATAATTCAATTCTGAAACAAATAGTTTTACCTCGTTTCGCGGACTTTGTATATTCCTAGACGTTCACAGTCTGACTATGAAAATTATCATGCATACTATTGACTCCGGACATTGTTCGTCCCTCCAGGTCTTTCTGTTAATAGGAATAAGTTGTGAAAACATGGTCAAACAACTTCAATATTTATTTAGGTTCAATAGGCTATGTTAGAAATCACTTAATCGTTAAACTATCTTGGTATGTTATTTCTGCCACTGATATTTCCGAGTCTGCAGATTGTTCTCTGTATTATCCTGTTTTGCACTGAAAAATAGTTGCTCTATGCTTAAATGGAGGTCATCTATCAGAGAATAATTAATTAATTTGTAAGCTGGTATAGCAACAATGGATATAAGAGATTAATCGGCTTTAGCTCAGAAGCTAGGGCGCGATTCCATTCACATCTGAGACCAATGATTTACAGTGAAGCCATGACTACTGCTAAACAGGCACGGCAGTGTTATTCTCTATGATTAATAATCTTCGAAATAATGGAGATGGATTGGCATTAAACTCGATTATATTGTGAATGGGGAGAATATGCCCGACAATTCGGAGTTTACTTTAATCCTCTCATTAGCATTTTTACAACGACTTACTCATTGAAGCTAGTTGGCATAAAGGGGTTATCTGAAAACATTCGGCTTTACAGAAGAGGCGATCTCTTTGTTCACCACCTATTAATTGAACACAGGAGAGATCGGAAAGCTTGACAGTTCAGATAAGTGGTAAATGAAATCTTGGTAGCTAGGCACATATAATTTTTATTTTATCGTGAATAAACCAACTATGAGTGTTTAAAATTAAATTCGGCTCAATTTAGGTTTGATATTTTATAAGCGTTGCATTTTCTGAATTGAAAATGCCCTTATGCTTTAGATTAGTGCGTAAGATGTGCTTATCAATCAGTTACTATTTTTGCTTAAGTAAAAGCGCTGGGATACTTTATTTTCATCGATAATGGCTTGTTCCACTCTACTTCATTAGGATTCTCATGATGAAGCAAATAATATTTTTAGCATATACTTACTAAACATTTGTACGAAAGGAATGAATCTCTTAGTGTAGAAGAAAGCGATTTATTTTTTAATTTAGTTAAAACGGTTTTAGAATTCAACAACCGATTTTATTACAATTCATCCTTTGCGCTATTCTGAGCTAGGATTTCATGCTTTTGCATTTTTTCTGTTTATTTTCTTTAAATTTAAGGATGCTTATAGGGTGGCGTTGTATATTTTATTTGTATGGTGATGATTAAGTTAAGTGGCAGACTCTGCTATAGCCTTAACCAGGGCTTATATAGCAATTTGGTTTAATGCCCACTATTTAACA